AAAAGGATGAAGAGGGGAAGGCAAGTTGTGACTTAAGTATCAATTTAAACCAGTAGAACTGTTCCAAGATGCATGCAATTTCTTTGAACTGGACTCACTGAATAAGAGTCAGGTGTCTCTTATTATAAAAAAAATGTCAATTTACAGTATTTCTCATATAATGTAGATCTGGAATGCTCTGCATTCTCTGGGAACTGGGTTGTAGCTGGAGAAAAGAAACATACTGTTCTCTGATGAATTAGAGACATGAGGAAGATAAGCCAACCAAGGCTAATTTTAAACATATTTTATATATAGGTGGGAAGAAAAAAAATTCACACATTATCTGAAAGTAAAGAATTAAATTAGTTAAAACAATTAAAAAAAAGCAAATTCTAGAATGCATTACCTTCAAATATTATACTTAAAGGTTAAGGGATGAGTTTTGGTGGTTTTATCCTAGTCTTCATTTGGATAATGTTTTTGTAATATACACAATGTGTCACAATGGCACTTTTTGATCATAGTCCAACATTGAAGTAATGCCAGAACAAGGTGTTACAAAGTCAGGACTGAAGTTCATTGGGAGCTGTGTGGGGAACACTTCATAGCACCTGTAAACCAATCCTATTTAGTCCTTCACTTCCATAATAACTAAGTTCTGTCAAAGATCAATGAAATACATGAAGGATTTGAGACAAATGTCAAAACATGGATTTACTGTAAATTCCTTATTTCTTGATTTTTGTCAGATCCCTGACAAACAGCTATTCTCCTTTTTGCTTTGTTCCAACTAGACAAATCTTCTGTTCATAATCATAAGAGAGTGAGTGGCATGCCTGGACATCTCTCCCCACATGATCCTTGCACAGGGGACTTATGACAGAAGCAGCAGCAAGTTAAAGGTTGGATGCATTGATGCCAGAAGTCTTGTTCTGAGTTCCAACAGATGCATGAATGAGAAATTTATTACCTGATAATTTTCTCTCTATTACCAGCTTCTCTCTGAATTCGTTACTCAGGGGCTAATGCCCCTCCACCTGTGGAATTCGGAGGCGGTTCAATATTGTTGCTGGAGGCTCCAGCATTATGTTTCGACCTTCAGCTCAGGTCATCAGAAAGTTCTTATCGCAGCTATAGAAACACTACAGCAACCAATTATTAGTATGAAGACAACTTGATACAACGTACTAATGTATTGGAAAAAAAATTAAATGTATATTCTGGTCATTTACCAGACTACCATGGTGGGCTGAATTAGGAGAGAAGCTAATAGAAGGAAAATTATCAGGTAAGAAATTTCTCATTCTGTTGCACAGCTTCTCTCATCGTTCATTACTCATGGGATGTAGCCAGAAGTTAATCCCAGAAGTAGAGGGAAAGGATATAAAGAGTTTAATTCTTATAGTAGAATAGCAGGCAGGAATGAAAGCTGCCCCCATATAAAGCAGAGCTTTATAAACTAAGGAGTTATGGGAGAACCAACACAGTGGCACCTTCCTACCAAAGGATGCCTTTGCAGAGGAATGGTAACTTGAAGATCTCCCACAGTTTAGACACACTTTTTTCTCCAGTGCCTCTAGAGACTTCTGTGAATAGTTTCCCTGATGCCTAGCATGCCAAATGGTTCAGGGTTTTTATGTCTTGACTGCTACAACCTTGAGGCCCTAACGCCTTGGAATGTTGGACAGAATTAGATGAACAGGGTACAATTGGTGTATGTACTTCATATGCTTGAAGTATATCTTTAGTGCTCTAAGAATGCCCATTTATGCCCCAACCATCCAAGAGTTAGTACACAATGAAGAGAGAACTATTCCACCAATTGTGTAAAGAGGAACTTGCCTTGAACAGAAAGGTTTTTGGAGCTGTAAGAACTTTTTCCTCATGACAAAAACAGTGTGGTTCTTGTATGCTATAGGAGTCAATTCTAAAACTTGCCTTTTAGAGGTAATGGCAACTAGAAAGACCAGCCACAAGCTTGTCTAATTTAATCATGATGATTAAAATTGGCACCTACACTCAAATGGAGGATCCAATGTGCTGTCCACAAAATACTGCTATGGCTCGTGTCATGTTTCAATGGTGCTTAGTTGTAGGACTCTAATCAAACCTTCTAGCCGAGGTCACTAGAACTTTGGGATTATTATATTTGTATCACAATAGCATCTCGAGGTCAGGGCTCCATTGTGCTAGGCACTGCACAAAGAGGCAATTCCTGCCTCAAAGAGTTTTGCTTTCCCTCACACCTGAAATGCAAATTTGACCAGATCAGTGAATGAAATATCCTGGTTGAGTTCTGTCAGGATACCAAACTGTATCAGAGGTTAATGGAGAATCCATGTTGAACTACACTTCTCTTCTGATGCCCAAGTTCTTAACTGTAGGTGTAACCAGTCTGAATGAAGGAATTCCTGTTTCAAAGGGTCTGGTATTTTCTGCAGGTACAATGTGGGGTTCCTGGCTATCTAGCAAGTCTAAAGTGCCTTCTGGGCTGTGGAGGACTAGAAGGAGCACCACAACTCTCCCTATTCCTCTTTCTGTATCCTTTAAGTGAACTGTCTTGAAGGGTAACACAGTCTTTAACCAGAACATAATTTCCATTGCCATGGAAAAGCTTTGACCTCTGATTAATCCCTGGTTTTGGAATTGATAGAAACACTCATGTCTCAATCATAATCCAACCCCCAATAGGAAGTAGGAGGAGACTTCCTCTGAGAGTACCATAATTGCCCACTATGTGGTTTCTTGCACCGTTTACTGATACAGCTGGTACTGGTCACTGTCACAAACAGGACACTAGACAAGATGGACCACTGATCTGATCCCCTATCACCATGTTTGCATGTTTTGCTGCTGTTTCTTTTTTCTTTTTAAATAAAGACATGCCCTGATAAAGATCTTGAAATGAACCAAAAGATTTTGAAAAAATTGTATTCCAATATGCTTGCTTCCATAGTGAGTAAGTAAGGGTCTAGAACAAAAGTTGGGTGCCTTTCAGCATGTTTGCATTCTGGAAAAGAATCAGCATAGTGAAGTGCACAGAACTAACTGTTGGACATGCGTGCCCTCAGAAATCCTAGCGACACAGCACCAGTGACGAAACAGTAATTTTCACAAACCTCCCCATCCTTTGAGGTTACAAAGGACTGTGGTGTAGGGCCGGTTGCAGGATAATTTTTAGACTATTTTGTGAGTTGCTGAGGAAAAAATCCCCACAAAAACCACAGCTGTTCTTAACTGGCCATTTGATTCTTCATCCGAGACTTATTTTGGTCCCAATTCTGAAATTCATTTCCTCACAGAAACTTCAGATGAAGTCCTAGATTCATAGATTCATAGATTCTAGGACTGGAAGGGACCTCAAGAGGTCATCGAGTCCAGTCCCCTGCCCGCATGGCAGGACCAAATACTGTCTAGACCATCCCTGATAGACATTTATCTAACCTACTCTTAAATATCTCCAGAGATGGAGATTCCACAACCTCCCTAGGCAATTTATTCCAGTGTTTAACCACCCTGACAGTTAGGAACTTTTTTCTAATGTCCAACCTAGACCTCCCTTGCTGCAGTTTAAGCCCATTGCTTCTTGTTCTATCCTCAGAGGCTAAGGTGAACAAGTTTTCTCCCTCCTCCTTATGACACCCTTTTAGATACCTGAAAACTGCTATCATGTCCCCTCTCAGTCTTCTCTTTTCCAAACTAAACAAACCCAATTCTTTCAGCCTTCCTTCATAGGTCATGTTCTCAAGACCTTTAATCATTCTTGTTGCTCTTCTCTGGACCCTTTCCAATTTCTCCACATCTTTCTTGAAATGCGGTGCCCAGAACTGGACACAATACTCCAGCTGAGGCCTAGAGTGGAAGAATGACTTCTCGTGTCTTGCTCACAACACACCTCTTAATACATCCCAGAATCATGTTTGCTTTTTTTGCAACAGCATCACACTGTTGACTCATATTTAGCTTGTGGTCCACTATAACCCCTAGATCCCTTTCTGCCGTACTCCTTCCTAGACAGTCTCTTCCCATTCTATATGTGTGAAACTGATTTTTTCTTCCTAAGTGGAGCACTTTGCATTTGTCTTTGTTAAACTTCATCCTGTTTAACTCAGACCATTTCTCCAATTTGTCCAGATCATTTTGAATTAAGATTCAAATTCTATTTCTTGATCTTTGATTTATTCTAATAAAGTGAAATTAACACATTAAGTTAAAAATGGGTCAAAGCAATTACTAGAAAAGAATTTTCACATAAAAACTGGTTTAAATTTAATACAACCATTTATCAAATTTACATAAAAAGACAGTGCTTTCTATATGGGGTATTTATTCATTAAAAAGCGATTGGGAATGGGCTGATTTTCTGAACAATTTCCTAGGTATCTAAAAGGAGCTTTTTCTAGACAGATTTTCAGTGCTGTTCCAAATCTAGAATCCTTTGTGGCTCTCTACTGTGAGCCTAACAAAGGTTCAAGGAGTATGAAAGCAACAACAGTGGAGCGCTCCTAATGTTATTACCTAGATTGTTTCAACACTTAAATTTTTTTGTTGTTTTTTAGGTATTTGGTTTTTTACTCCACCTCTTCAGTAACATCCACTTAATGAATGCATGTTGAAGAAATAGTGACTTAGCAAAACATCCCGGGCACCAAAAAGTTACAACAAACTGAACTAAAATATTAAATTATCCAAGTAAAACATACCACATATAATGGATCTTTTAAGAAAAGATCTACTAAAGGGACATTCTCATTAAAAGGATAAGATTTTCTATGATATAATACAATGCTTTTCATCCACAGATCTCAGAATGCTTTTAAAAGGAGTATCTTTACCCCATTTTACAGATGAGGAAACTGAGTCAGAGAGAGGGGAAGTGACTTGCATAAGATCACACAGCAGGCCAAGAGCAGAGCTGGAAATAAATCCCAGGTCTCCCGACTCCCAGTTCAGCATTTTATTCCCTGGACCATCCTGTGGAACAGAATCTATAACACTTCATAAACAAATTAATTTACCTGTGGGTGGTAGACACTGAGCGATTTCACTTTGTGCAAAGGTAATAACACCTTCAATAAGAAAATTTTGTGCTCTTCTTTTAATGGTAAGGCAAATCCATTAATTATACTGTAAAAAAAATCAGAAGTTTTTAAAATCAGTTTAAAATCAGTACGTGTTCAAAATTTTCACTATTGCCAAATTTTTAAGGATAAGAAAATCATTTTTTATGCTTTATTTTAATTGTTCCAAGCTGGGTTTTTTTTTTTGAGCTCTCCCATAGAACATTAATGTAGCATTTTTCCCATGTTGAAGAGGGGGATCATTATATTAAATAAAAATAGAACAAAATGTTAAGAAAATTTAAGTCTAATTATCTAGAGATCAGAGTAGAAATTCAACCAATGGTAAAATCAACATCCTCACATCCCCTATATCAAGAGTTCTAACTTGCGTCTTTTCCAGGTGCCGAAATCCTCCCTCCAAGTTCCATAAAAGACCCAGTTCCCACCTCCTGCTTCAGCTTCCAACCTTTCCACCTCCTTGTAAACAAAGTTCTGAATAAATACCCCTCCCAGCTGCTGAAAGCCAGCTGCTTCATTCCTGATGAGGGAATCAGCCAAAGACCCAACACCTGGGAGTCCGATCCAAGAGAGTACACAGATCGGAGACAGGATTACTCTACTGGGAAATGGATAGTTTTTTAGCACTGGAGCAGGCAACAAGACAGCACCACAGCACATGGAGTTCCCAACACCAAGTGAGTAAAGACAGGTGTTACTCATTACTGGGTGCATTGTACCCTTTGATCTTTTTATCTGGAATGGCCTTTTGAAAACCTGTCAACTTTAAAAAAAAATGGAATTAAAAATAGTTTCACATTTTACAACTGGAGTCTCACTGCCAATTTTTGTGGTTTTACCATCACACATTCTTATTTTTTAAGAGGTTTTCATCTCACATTAACTAGCATGGAAGGCTCTCACAAACAAGAGGGGAGCTGACAAACTACTGAACTATTACATCCTAAAATACTAAGTTAAGAGCATTCAGCTTACAAAGTCAAGCACTCAAAAGTTAGAAAATGCCAGAATTAAGGTTGCTTTTGCAACCTTAATTCCCCGTACCTTGTACGTGCACACTATAATGCAGTCTATAATTACATTATCACATACCATTTTTTTCCACATGACCTGTGCCTTATTTCACTGAATGAGTAGTTATTTATTATTTCTTTTTATCCTCCTCATTCAATGTGTGGTATCAGGCCTTATTTAACACATGCCATCCAAACCCCACACTGAATACAAAATTATTGATTTCCTCACAGACATTTCCATGGTGCTCTCATCATCATATTTGAGTGTTTCAAAACATGAATTTATTTTCTTAATGCTCCTGGGAGATTAGGTGTTGTCACCATTTTGTAGTTGGGGAATTGAGGAAGAACGATTAAGGCAAAATTGTCATAGAAGTGTCCATTAATTTTGGGTGCCAAGCTTAAAACACATAGGGACTGATTCTTCAGAGTAATTAGAATTTCATAGCGCTTTATATGTTTGTAGCACAATTCCAGTTTACTTTTGTTGCAGTTGTGAGCACTCAGCACTTCTGCATCTCTGACCTCTGGTGCCTCACATTAAGCACCCACAAAAGAAGGAGAGCACAATTAGTAGCTAACTATGAAATTTTTTCTTTATGTGACTTGCCCAGCATCACATAGGAATTACATGGCAGAGGCAGGGATAGAATCCAATTCTCCAGGGTGGCATTCAACTTTTTTTCTCATCCTGTAATCGCCTGCCTCATTCACTACACACATTCCAATTTCTGCAACAAACAAGCAGGGATCCCACAGACACTAGCCTCATTAACTATACAATACTGATTCATTCCTATAACACCATCCTTCTTGGGCACTGAAAGAGGCAGGGGTCCTGCAGAAAAAAAAAATAGCAAGTGATCAAGTAATTACAGAATATCATAAGGCGTGAGCAACCTTAAATTCTGAGTGCTTGACTTCGCAACCTGAACTTTTTTTGTAGTTTTCTGGAACTATGCTAACCCTCAACTAGAGTCATCAGCAAGGTTCAAACCTTTAGATTCACAGCACAGACCTCTACCACTTGAGCTAATGGACTAACTGGTAGCAGTCGTAGGCTGTTATTGTCTGTGGACCTGCCACTAGAGGACGAGAACAAACTTTTTGAGTGGGTTTCACAACTATTTCCTGTCAGAAGAAGAATGGAGAGACTCAGGATTCTTGGGTTCTTAAGTGTTACAGATCCTTCTGTCCCCTGTGTCTCAAGCCAGTCTGTCCCCACCACTGAGCCTGACCATTCCTCCCACCCCCAGCTCCTGCCCCACTCACCCCTCTACATCTACATACTCCCACTCCTAAGCGCCCCACTCCCTGCCTTACCCTCACCCCTCTGCATTAAAGTCAGGCAGTTTCCTCTTTCACCACTTTGCTGCTTGGGCACCAGTTGTGGGGGGAATACTGAGAGCACAGGAAAGATGTTTTCCCTACTTTCAGTTCTTGTGTCTGAGATTTTTCACAAGCTTTTAACTTGGCCAAATTTGAGTACATTTTCACAAAGACAGCAAAAGGCACATCCCCTGACACAAGGGCAAACACCCTTGCAAAAGTTCAAGCCTTTGTTCCAAAGCAGGAGATTCTGCAGTGTGAATTACATCTTAATAGAAATACTGTCTGCCCTTCCATTCAGGATTATGTAATGTCCCTATAGCAACGTAAGTAATTGCTTACAAGTAAAAGTGGTATTTTTTTAGCACCAGTTAATACTATTTAGCAGCCAGAAATGGACAGTCAGTGCCATGTCACTGGCCAGCTCTCTGCAAGCCTCTGAACAACTGTGTGAGTACTAATCTTAGATGTCTGGTAGATAAGTTTTTCCTGAAAGTGCAATTGTTTTTTTTGTTTAAGTTAATGGTGTGCCTTTAAGGAAGATACAGGGATATGGAACAGAAGGAGAGGAGTGACTTTAGTTTGCCAATTGTCAGGCAGCGTAGGACAAGGGCTTTCTGTTCCTTCAGTAAGTCACCTCGTAATGCATTATATCCCAAACAGACACAATCAAAATCTCTTTTAGCTGGCATTTGTGCTTTGCTATGCCAGGCTACAAGGATAAAGTTAATATTGACACCACATATTGCTGATAGTATGACTGAAAAGCTAAATAAACAGGGTGTCTTGGCTTTTTTTTACATTTAATATTTTAAAGAATTATCTCATGGAAAATAAAATTCACAATGTGACTAGGATCCAAAGACAAAAGACAAAAACATAATTTGGCCCTGGTCTACACTACAAGTTTAGGTCGAATTTAGCAGCATTAGATCGATTTAACCCTGCACCCATCCACACAACGAAGCCATTTTTGTCGACTTAAAGGGCTCTTAAAATAGATTTCTGTACTCCTCCCCAACGAGGGGATTAGCGCTGAAATTGACCCTGCTAGGTCGAATCTGGGGTAGTGTGGACGCAATTCGACAGTATTGGCCTCCGGGAGCTATCCAAGAGTGCTCCATTTTGACCGCTCTGGACAGCATTCTCAACTCGGATGCACTGGCCAGGTAGACAGGAAAAGCCCCGCAAACTTTTGAATTTCATTTCCTGTTTGGCCACCGTGGCGTGCTGATCAGCACAGTTGACCATGCAGAGCTCATCAGCACAGGTGACCATGGAGTCCCAGAATCGCAAAAGAACTCCAGCATGGACTGAACGGGAGGTACTGGATCTGATCGCTGTATGGGGAGACGAATCCATACTATCAGAACTCCGTTCTAAAAGACTAAATGATTAAGCGCAGCCAGACACCAGGGCGGTTAGAAGAGCGCAGCAGGGCGCGCTGCACATCAGAGAAGCTTTGAAAACCAGTTTCATGACTGGCCAGGCTACGGTGTGAAAGTTCTGTTGGTTTCTCCTTGATGAAAACCCACCCCCTTGGTTCACTCTACTTCCCTGTAAGCCAACCGCCCTCCTCTCCCCCCTTTGATCTCCGCTTGCAGAGGCAATAAAGTCATTGTTTCAAATTCATGCATTCTTTATTAATTCATCACAAAAATGGGGGGATAACTGCCAAGGTAGCCCGGGAGGGGTGGGGGAGGAGGGAAGCACAGGGGTGGGGTAGTTGTAGGGGCACCCCCTAGAATGGCATGCAGCTCATCATAGAAGCGGGATGTCTCGGGCTCTGACCGGAGCGGCCGTTTGCCTCTCTGGTTCTTTGCTAGGCTTGCCTGATATTCCAGGCAGGACTGAATCTCCATTAGACGAAACTTAAAGAAGGGAATGACCTGGAGTCACTCCCATTTATGTCCAGGCACCCCAACCAACCTCACCGAGGCCAGCCAGGAGCACCGATGTCTGCCCCGGAGCCCCTGACCGACCTCACCGAGACTGGCCAGGAGGAACCCGGAGACAGCAGCAGACGGTACAATACGGCTGCTAACTGTCTTTGCTAACTGTCTTTGTAGCACTGCAAGGTACCGCGTCTGCCAGCAGAACAGGAGACATATGGTGACAGTGAGCTGAGCGGGTTCCATGCTTGCCGTGGTATGTCCTCTGCACGGGTAACCAAGGAAAAAAGGCGAGAAACCACCCGTGACAATGTTTTTGCCCCATCAGGCACTGCGAGCTCAACCCAGAATTCCAATGGGCGGCGGAGACTGCAGAAACTGTGGGATAGCTACTCACAGTGCAACGCTCCGAAAGTCGACGCTAGCCTCGGTACTGAGGACGCACTCTGCCGACTTAATGGTCTTAAGTGGGGACACACACAATCGACTGTATCAAATTGATTTCTAAAAAATCGACTTATATTAAATCGACCTAATTTCATAGTGTAGACATACCCTTGGTTTACTCCTTTACCTAGACAATCTTCTGGAATGGGCATTGTGGACTGATTGTTGGTATAGGAAACAGCTCTTTATAACAAAGATCCAAGTGGTGTCTCTACGAAGGGCTCAAAATTAATTTTGTCTTGGCTCTGAGCTGCCTTTTACAGCAATTACACAACAAGAACAAGAACAAAAGAATAACCTACCTTTCTTAACTGTTGTTCTTCAAGATGTGATGCTCATGTCCATTCTAGGTGTGTGTGTGC